ACAGCAACCCGGCCTCCAGCTCAAAAAGGTTGCCTACCCCTGCCCTAAGGGGTGGTTCAGTGCTGCCCCTGGGAGGCCAGATTGGGGCCATGGCAACCACATGCTACAGCCCTGATTTTCCTTTTTCTTTTATTCCCCATTTATGTGTTTAGTGTAAATGGTAGAGTTTTCTCCAGAGTGAAAACCACAGGTTTAGAGCATGATATAATGACTGTTTCCAGAAGACGATTAATTGTGACATCACTGTGGTTGGCATCCTATTAGTAACATAACAGGATCATAGAAACACAGAATTGGGGGAAAAAAACCACAATGCAGGAAAACCCCACCATGCAAGAAAACACAATTAAAACACTCCTGGAAGAAGTGAATTCATTACCTCCTTTGTTCAATGACCCACAACAGGCTTAAATTCCTCATTGTTCCTGCAAACCCCACTGCCACCAATGGCTGTAGAGAACATGGAAGGGTGATAGAAAAATGTCCATTTATGTATAGTAATGACTTGGGTGTCCTTAGGACCTCACATGGCTCCTCCAAAAATTCCAGAGGATCATTTCATTGTTGTGCTCCACTTCTCTGTCACCCACACTTTCTACCAGTCACTAAATGCCCATGGAGCTGGAATGTGTGCACAAGCAAAGGGAGTCCTTCAGAAGGGAAGTGGAGAGGTAGAATGTAGTTCCACCTGCAGAACTTTATGCCACATCATCACATCCTGCAATAATGAAGCAAGGTTCATTCATTCACATTATGGGAGGGAGTTTGCCATTAATTTGTTAATTTCTCCCTTTTCTCAATTATTTTTCTAACTTTTTTTCCTTAATGAGGAAAATCTTTTTATTTAATTGAAAAAGAAGCTCAGGGGGGGTTGCAGACTGCCAGAAATAGTGCAAATTGAGTCCACTTTTACGGTTAGGGTTAGTGCTAGGGAATCATGGGGATTTTTTTTTCTGAGACTTTGAGCCTTCTCTGTCAGAGAGCTCTGGTGCCACAATAAAATACAGTTCCCATTATTCCCTAGCCCTAACCCTAACCCTAAAAGTGGACTCAATTTGCACTATTTCTGGCATCTGCAACCCCCTTCAGTCTCTTCATGTATTAATGGTCTTTTGTTTTATAAGAACTTTAGTTTTGAGCCAGAATATGTTTGGAAAAGGAGCCATATAGCCACACTTTATTTTCTGTCATTTCACTTTCTTTTTCACAATTTCATCTTTCTTTCCCTCCCTTTGGGGACTATCTCCACAATTATTAAAACATACCCACTGGAGTGGATTGGACTTTCCCATTCCTTGTCCTTAGTCATACCCCTAATGTGGAAAGAACACAGTGTGACCTCTACTGTTTTTCTCAATCATGTTTGAACCTTACAAAGGAAGAACAACAACTGGGTGCCACCAGGAGAGCCCAATCTGGAAACCCCCAGTGTAAGATGTCTATAAGAACTACCAGAGACTACACTGTACTGGCAATTGGTGCCTCACAAGAGCAAGTATAGAAATAAACTAGCACTGAGTCTATGTTTGCACATGCATATTGTAAAAGCAGAAACTTACTGCAAAGTTTATCCTCACAGTCATTGGGGCAATCTCCACAGGGTGGGCCTTCTTTGTAGGGTGTCGCAATGTATTCTACTATATTCCCACTGAAATTGCAAGCACATACAGTCCTTAAGTAATAAGGTTATTTGATATACTAGAATCAAACTAAATATGACATTGAAGAGGAAGCTGCTTTAATTTAGAAAAGGACATAGAGTTAATAACAGTCTGAGACACAGACTTATATGAGAGAACTATATATTTATAAATTATGGTTCTAGATTGAAAAAGAAAAGGGATGCAAAGAAGTGTAAATTGTTGAATGAAATGCACACTCTGGAAAGGAAATCGAAGAACTTTGATAAGGAGACTCAACAAAAAATCAAATTGTTTCAGTTTAGATTGTACTCATTGTATATTACATTTTACTATGTTTACCGCCCGGATTGGTTCGCCATAGGGCAGTATATAAATAAAAATTATTATTATTATATTATAACAATTTTCAAATTTTTTCATATATATTTTCATATTTTTTCATATAACTACTATATCTTAAACAATTTTCATATTTTTTCATATAACTACTATATCTTAAACAATTTTTTTAAAATGTACCAATATGCCACTTAAGATAGTGTGTGATGGTGTACTAAGAAGAGGGAGGATGCTTACGTTACAGTGGAGAAATGCTTCCATTACAGCGATTCACAAAATGAGCAGACATCTACAAAGAATTATAGACCTATTTCTTTATTTAACAATGACTACAAGAGATTTACTACAATTTTGGCAAACAGATTGAGGAAACATATTTCCAAGAGTATACATGAAGATCTGGGTGGATTTTTGCCAAAAAGACAATTAAGGGGATGAGCAGGAAGGCCAGAATAACCTTTGCTATTCTGATCCAGTGCTCACCCAGATCAATCAAAATGAGGTCAAGGGGTTGTTTACACACCTGTCCCTGCACAACCCCAGAACCAGCACCAGCACATACTATTTACCTTGCTGCACTGTTGCTAGTACTGAGAAGCCCCCTATTATCATTTGTAATGCAGAAATGAGGCACCTGGCTGCACCCATATGAGTGCCATCAGATGTGGCAACAGGGGCAGGGTCTCATTATGAACTGTTCTGAATATAATAGAATATTTCAAAATTCATAATGAGAAAAAGGCTGCCTTGATTTTTTTAGGTATGAAAAAAGCCTATGGGCTGCCCTGGGAAGGTGCGCCATGGGACCGAGGCATCCCCATGCCTCGATCCTGCAGCGCACCTTCGCCGCCCCTGACAGGACAGCCCCTGACAGGAGCACTAAAATAGCGCTCCTTTCACAAGTCAGTGAAAGTGCGCTGCAAAAGCTTGCAGCACACTTTCGCTGACTTTTCTGCCACAGCATGTCCGGACGCTGTGGTGGAAGGTTGTCCCCAGAGCGCTGGCCGTGCAGAGGGCCAGCGACTCTGAGGACGACCTCGGGAGGAGGAAGGGGTGCCGAGCATGCGGCTGCCCCTCCCGTTCCTTGCCCCAAGGACAGCTTTTTAAGCCATCTGCCGAGGCTGTATGATAATATTTCCTGGAATTATTTATTTCAAGTGTTGGGGGAGATTTGGGAGGAAACATCATCTGGACTATAAAAACAATATATTAAGTACAAAAAGCTCAGATTTCAATAAATGGCAATCTCTCAACACTGAACTAGACAACAATGCCCTTTTTTACCATTGCTTTTTATCTTCGCATCAGAGACTTTACCAAGAGATATTAGAAAAGATGACAAAGTATGTGGAGTGAGAATCTTTTTCAAAAGAGTATACATTGAAAGCTTATGCAGATGATTTTGTGATAATGATACAAAATCCATGAGATTCAAGGAAAGCTCATCTGGAAAAGTTGAGGGTATGTGGGGCATGAACTGGATTGAAAGTGAATTGTGACAAAACAAAATTGTTAACTATAATTATGTATATGGAAGATGAGAATGAATTAATTCTTCCTTCCTTCTAATTTTAGCACAGAAAAAAATGAGAATTAAATATTTCAGAATTATAATCACAAAAATAGTGTGTTGTTTCAAAATAATTGTGAGAAAATCTGAAAAGAAATGTAAAAAGATTTGGAAAACATGGAGAAAGTTAAATTTATCTTTTATAGGGACAATTTCACCAATTATAAGACACATTTTGCCAATGCTTCTATTTTATTTTCAAATTATCCCCATGGATACCTTTTGCGAAATGGCAGACAGATATTTCCAGATTTGTTTGACATGCAAAAAAATCCAAAATTAAATTTAAACTATTGTGTGATGTCAAAGAAAGGAATGGTTTCCTTAACATTAAACTGTATTATGAGAACTGGTGTTTTATGGGGCTGAAAGAATGGATTCTCCTCAGATAAGAGGCTTTTGAATTTGGAAGGTCATGAGTTAAGGTTTGGTTGGCATGCTTATAACTTGTGCAATAAAACCAAGGTTGTTGTTGTTGTGTGCCTTCAAGTTGTTTCTGACTTATGATGACGCTAAGGCAAACCTATTGGAGTTTTCTTGGCAAGTTTCTTCAGGGGACTTGCCATTGCCATCCTCCGAGGCTGAGAGTGTGTGACTTATCCAAGGTCAGCCTGTAGGTTTACATGGCTGAGACGGGATTAGTACCCAGGTCTTCAGATTCATAGTCCAACGCTCAAACCACTAAACCACACTGGCTTCCAAAGCCAAGGTACATGCTAGATTTAAAAAGTCTGATATAAATACAATTAAACATTTCCTAACATACTACTAGTTACCTCTCTACAGGAAGACTTTGTAAAGAGGCAATGGGTTAAAAGGCAGAAATTACAGATTAATCTGTAAATGAATATATTATAAAGTGAGCCCAAAGTTGTTTACATAATATACAAATGGACATTTTGGGAGGAAATGTGGACTAAAGATACCAAATTCACTTTAGCCAGTGAGTTGAAAGAAAATATATATAATATGATGTACAGATGGTACTTGATGCCAAATAGGTTAAGAATGTCCATAAGGTTTTCAAATCTGTATTGAGCTTGTCAGAATAAGGATTGATCTTTCTTTCATGTGTGGTGGACTTGTAAGAAGGCAAAAAAGTGATTGGTTTAAGATTCATATATTAATTTTTTTTAAAAATAAAGGTGCATTGTGCAATGTCACCAGAAATGTTTGTACTGGGTACGCTTTTTTTCTCAGAAGTAGATAATTCTCTCAGAGAGCACAAAGCTTCCTGGCTTCCTCATTTCTTCTCCCCTCATCTGCAAGCCCTAACCACCTCTTGTGTGCACTCGTCATGGGCAATTTTGACCAGCCTCCTATGTTTGGAGCTGGTGTAAATTTTAGCAGCTATATGGAGGCCTGACTAGGACTGATAGATTATCAGCATCCTACATCTTTTAAATTTATTAACTAAACAGTAATTTCAGCTTTATTTAAACTATCATTTTATTTAAGCACTGAACTACACATGGAGTTTGGTGCATCACTAGATGTTGCATGCCTCCTTAAAAAACAGGATCAGGTTTCTTTCTCCTATTGTGGTCCCTTGTTACCATGTATTTTAAAAAGCACTGTTGAGACATCAAACAATGGCAACAGCATTGCATCACAGCAACCCATCTTCATTCCTGAGAGAGAAGCACCATGGGAATAACACTATGTCATAATTAAATACAGCTGGGCTACTGAAAGCCTCCAAGGTACTGTCTAAACTGGCAGTGCTTTGAGTAGAAAAGAAAGAGAGAGGGAGAGGTAGAAAGGAAGAAAATTTAAAAACCTCTAGCCATGTCCTATTTATTCTCAGAAACTACATGCCTCCTCACAAATTGCCATTTCTGTGGAGATTGATTCCATCCCAAAAAAACCTTTTAGCCCTCACTTTCATTTATTCTTCTGTTAAGTTTGGACACCCTGTCACTTGTACAAAGGTGCTTTGTATTGCAGATCTCACGGATTGCTGATTTTCCCTCAAAAAGGATTTTGTAATAAAAGATCACTGTCTAGCAATTTGATATGCTAGATATGACTGATCCAGACTGAAAGTGGAACATCTTCTGTCCTCAAGAACTGCTTCGTTTATCTGCCAAGTGACCACACACTGGCACCATTTTCCTGGCACATGGATTTCTCTGTTCAAAGGGATGGAGAAGTCCCAGCACACAGAGATTCTACATATGCATTACTGTGTGTGCATACCAGTTCTAGAACAGAGAAAGTATTTCCAAAGGATACTTACGCAGGGCAGAAACGGCAAATATAAAAGAATTTGTACTCTTCTTCTGAATCACAGTAGGCAACTGTACAGCCAACCCGATATGAGTTATACCAAATCATCTGTCAGCATAAAAGGAAATAACATATTAAAATTAAGTTTTAAGGCAAAGTACAACTTTTGTTAAACCTAGAGTGTTTGAAGCACTATGAAGCATGACCAGTCATACTCTAAGAGGAGTCTTCATAGTTCATGTAATATGCATATTGCATTGCACCCTTGTCTGATCAATATACTAAACAGAAGTAATCTGGATTTTCCTGCCATTATTATGTATGGAGCCTTTTGTAGGCTGAAATCTCAAACAGCCTAAGTGGTCCTATATGTTTATTGTGTCATTTGGCACATTATGAGCAATGGGAGCACTTGATTAGTCTTGGATACTAGCTTAGTAACTATACACATACAGAACTGAAGAGGTGGGAGAAAGAAAACTCTAGAAAATCTGAACAGCAGGGCATTCCTGAGAATTTTATTGGGTATTTTCTTAAGCAACCTGTTGCTGCATGCATGACCCAAAGTCCACGTGCAGAAGATTTGTGCCAGGAACAAACACCACAGAAAGCTCTGTTGTACAGTTCATGCAAGTTGGAGAAATCCTTCTCCCACACAGAAGCTGTAGACATGACAACTGCTGAGTTCTCAGGTACTTACACTGATTGACATAATGCTCCACCACTATACACCACACACATTGAGCATTATATACACAATCCCTAGCAGAGATTTTAGTCCAACCCCCAACTGGTTTTCTGTCTCACATGGGCCATGACTGTGCAGTACTGAAGCTTGATGACCTCATGTTCTATCTTTGTGTCATCATCTTCCTGTGTGGGGAAGGGAAACAGTGTTCTGGAAGACAAAAGGACTGGAAAAAACAGTCAAACTGTCATAGAGGGAACAAGGCAAACAGTGCAAGGACCCAACAGTGGGAGGCAAAAAAACATGCAAGGCAGCAAGTAAAGGGGACATATGGTCTTAGATGTCTCTACACTAATGGACAGAGCATGGGAAGCAAGTAAGATGAACTTGAACTCCTAGCACAACAAAACAAATATGATATAATAGGCATCACTGAAACCTGGTGGGATGAGTCCCATGATTGGAATGTAGAAATACAGAGGTATAACCTCTTCAAGAGAAACAGGCCAAACAGGAAAGGAGTAGGAATAGCATTATATGTCAGGGATATTTACATCAGTGAAGAAATCCAGGACATCAATCCTGGAAGCCAAGTGGAGAGCACCTGGATAAAAATTAAAGGGGAGGGAAACATTGTTCAAAAGGTGGAAGAAGCAACAAGGGAGCCAGCTATTTTGGATCTGATCCTAACTAACAGGGAAGACCTACTTAATGAGGTGCAAGTGGTTGGATCCTTAGGTGGGAGTGATCATGTTCTCCTGGAAGTTTTTATACAGTGGAAAAGAGAAGCCAGGCATAGTCAGACATGCATTCTAGACTTTATGAAAGCTGATTTTAGTAAACTTAGAGAATTACAGGGGGTGATCCCGTAGTCAGGAATACTAAAAGAGAAGGGAGTTCAAGA